CTGGGCAGGGCCATGTCCTCTCTGGTGACTGTTAAGGAGTTCTGGCACAGAGACAGCAATGGCCAGCAGAATGAATCTCACTCCTGCATCTTGTGCTCAATTGCAATTTTTCAGAGATGCACTTTTTTTTTTTTCCTTGCATGAACTGGGGGCACCTGTCCTCTTGCTGGTCGATTGAGGCTGTCACTCAAGCTGTGTCTTTTTTTTTTTTTTTTTAAAGATTTTATTTATTTGACAGAGAGAGACACAGCGAGAGAGGGAACACAAGCAGGGGGAGTGGGAAAGGGAGAAGCAGGCTTCCCGCCGAGCAGGGAGCCCGATGTGGGGCTCGATCCCAGGACCCTGGGATCATGACCTGAGCTGAAGGCAGACGCTTAACAACTGAGCCACCCAGGTGCCCCTCAAGCTGTGTCTTCCAGTAAGTGGAACATGCTGTGAAACATCAGCAGGTTCCCCTCCAAGCACCAAGAAGTCCAACGGGAAATCATTAGAATTTGTGACAATGAGTCAACCACATCCAAATAATGGTAGAGCCGGGAGGGGCTGCAAATTAATAAACCTTTCCTGTGTGAGCTGGCAGCTGGGCATTCTTCTCTGCTCCTGTCTGCGTTTGCACATGACTAGCTGCAGGCTCGAGGGATTTGCATTAGCAGATCATAAGTAAAAATCCCATTAAAATGACATTCTCCTCATCATTAGGATCCCTTTAGTGAGGTGCACTGGATTGTCAGGGACATTTACTGGAGCGGCCCGATAATAGACTTACCTGGCAGTCTGTCCACCCTGGCAGCAGCTTTCTGAGGTGTGGGGCAAAGGGGCTGCCCTGCTGGAGGCACACAGCTCTTCTGTGAGAACTGCCTCCCCCGCCCCCATTTCCGCACGCTCCTCAAGAGCTCCGTGCTTATCATGCCCTGGATTCAATGCTCATGAGAAGCCTCTGCCGAGTGCTTGAGCTCCTGGCCTGGCCGTGGAGAAAGGAAAGGGGGGACCCTGGTTCTAATGCAGCCCCTGCCACTGGCCTGAGCTATATTTACTTAAATTTGATAAATTTTATGAATGTCATACTCGCATTATTCACATTTACCCGTCCTTAAATTCTCCTTGAATAACAAAATTCTTCGATGATAGTCCATTCTTTTGGGGATAAAGTACCAACTCAATAACATGATGTGAAAAGCCTCTTGGGGTTTAATTGACCCTGCTCCTCTAAACGTGGGTCCTAATACCTGCCAAAGCAATCCCCTTCTGCCCCATCTCTATGGTCTACCACACTTCTCCTGAAGCCGGCCGTCCTACTCACCTCTGCCATCTTGGCTGCCTGGCTCCACATCACTGAGCCCTCAGCGCTCTGTTCAGACAATGTCCCCTCTTAGGGGCTTTTCCAGGCCCTTATTCCCAGGTCCATGTCAGGTGTCTCTAGAATGGGCTCCCACAGACTCCCCACACCTGGCCCCCTGCCTTCTGCCCCAGCACATATCGATGTAAACTGTTTCTGTGTTGGTTGCCCCATGATCGTGGATACCTATAGAGAGCAGGAGCTTCTGTTTCAGCAGCTGATCCCGGTACCGAGCACAGAGCCTGGCACATAGTTTGTGTTCAGCCTAAACTGCTGACTAAAGAACTAGATGAAGCCCCATTAGGCATTAGAACATTTATTATGCTTCTGGGAGCTCCAAGGTGGGTCAGTAGACTGGCTTGAGTCCTTTCTGGCCCAGGCCAGAAAGTTCTGCAATAATTACAGAGTCACTACTGGGCAAATACAGTAAAATCTTTGGAATTAGATATCAAGATAAAAGCCAAATGGCCTTTGAGAGCCAAATGGTAAAATTTTAGAATTTTAAAATGCTGCATAAAATGAATCAAAAGATCAATTAATCACCAGGAGGTTTTACAAGGTCTCTGGATTTTTCTCTTCTCTTTCCTCTCTCCCTCCCTCATGTCATCTCTCCTTTCTTTTGATCTTGACATCCATTTGCTGTTATGCAAACATTTACTGGGCACCAACTGTGTGCTCAGGGCTATAATATGCACTGAGGAGCTGGAGAGAGTAAGACACAATACTGCCTCCCAGGAGCTCAGTGCAAAGTGAGCAGAAAGGCAGGATAAATGGGTTACTAGGGTAAAGTAAGCATCATGATGGAGTTCTGTATGGAGTCTGGGGAGCACCGGGGAGAGGTAAGCCACTCAGGGGGGCTGACCCAAGGTGGCTTCCTGGGGGAGGAGATGTTATCAAGTATGTATATTCTGAACACCAAGTGATTTACATCCAAGAAACTTCTGGAAGGTTCTGTCTACACAGCTGAATAAGGGAGAGAGAGGTCTGTGGCTGGGTCTATATGTACCACTGGATTGCTAATATGAGTGTGGCTGAGGTTTTGTATACCCCATCCACTGTGCCTCCTCTCCAAGGGGCTAGGGTTTCTGATCACCAATAAGTAGCCTTTAAGTTTTTTTAATGTTAATTTTTTTTAGTAAAGAATGCTATGGACTGAATTGTGTCCCCCTCCCCAAATTCATACATTGAAGCACTACCCCCCAGTGTGACTGTACTTAGAGAAGGGCCTTTAGGAGGTGGTCAAGGTTAAAGGAGGTCATAAGGGTGGGACCCTAATCCCATAGGGCCTTATAAGAAGAGGAACAGGTATTCCAGTATCCAAGCTCGCTCTCTCTCTCTCTCTCTCTGTCTGCCATGTGAGAAGAAGACTGTCTACAGGACCGAAAGAGGGCCCTCACTGGGGAGCTGAATCAGCTGGCACCTTGATCTTGGACTTCCCAGACCAGAACTGTGGGAAATCCATGTCTGTTGTCTAAGCTCCCCCCTCCCCCCGCCCCCAGCTGTGATACTTTGTTATGGCAGCCCCAGCTGACCGAGACAAGGAAGAAGACAAGGTTTAAGCAAAGTGAAGATTTGACAGTTTCATGGAGTTTCATCAAGACTATAAACACTTGCATCTAAATGACAGTTCTGATCTCTAAATTAAAAATATTTAAAATTTAGAAGTGAAAACATTTTAAATTAGCAAGCTTACTGAAGAAGCAGCACAGCGTAATGAAATAGGGCAGGTCCAGCCATGGTTCACTGTGTGCCCTTGGGCAGGTCACAAGACCATGGTTCCTGCCTCATTTCATCCACTGGGCAGGCCCAGGGAGCAGAGGTGAGAGAGAGCTCAGGGGCAGTGTGCCTGATACAGAGCAGACACCGATAAATGAGATCCGAAGAACCGGGAAGGTGTTCCATGAACCTCAGCCCTTCCTTAAATGCACCACTTTGGGCCCAGACTTCAGTATTCCTCGAGTCATTCTATCTTTATCTGTAGAACCAGAATTCCTTCCTCACCTATTTTTAATTCCCAACCCTGTGACTTCATTTGCCTGTATCAGGACTTCTCAATCCCATCTTAGAAAATGCTGCAGGGCATCTGTAATCATCCTGGCCAGTATAGCAATGTTCTTATTAAACCCCCCACAATATAGAATTTATTTTAATTCATCTCAATTCGTATTATGTATTTAAATATATCCCATGTAAGCCATATGGCACTTTAGAAGGTAGCTGAGAGGTTGCTGGGAAATCAAATAAGCAATGTCAAGATTTCATAATTTCTGCAATACCCAGAATTCCTAACTCAGAGAAACATACACTAAATCCAGATGCCATATTTGCAAAACCCCAGACTCCAACAGGATGGGATTTATTGGGACTAGATCAGGCAGTTGCCACTGGGCTTCCTCAAGCATCTTTCCATCAGCTTGGCATCCTTGACCTTGTCACATTGCCTTAAGTTCCAGCACTGAGAGGTTCCCTGAGGTTAATCAATCTATCTTTTAAAGAGCATATGTCTGTGCTTCTGTGTGGATGAAAGGGGGCAGCTATCATTCTCATCTCAATGTAAATGAGTTTTCCTTCTGGAATGCTTCCCAGTAGCACTCTCTGAAACTAGCCATACCCGGGGCCTGGGTAGATGCCCGTAAGAAAGAGAGAGAAGGGGAAGGATTCTGGAACATTCAGCCCTAGACAAGGTGATGCAGGCAGCACACACAGTGGGCTTTAGGGGAAGAAAGGAAGCCTGAGGTCCCCAGAAGCACTCAGGATATGGGTGGGGTGCCAGACAGTAAGACCATGGAATGAGCATCATCTCACCTGCTTCATTAAGCTGACCCGTTCCACAGTCCCCTTCCCTATCTGCCGGCATTCTCCCCCTTGATAGTTTAAAACCATTCTTAAAAATTCACGTGTGCCCTCCCCTCTGCCCCCCAGTTCAAGTCTAAGTGAAGGCCAGTGCTAGGCTTGCTGCCCAGAACCTTCCTCAGTGGCACAGCCCCCCAAAGGAGTGACCGCCCCCTCCACGATCTCAGCCCTGCACGGCCTTTGGAGACAGACCCTTCAAAGCTTTTCCCTCCAACCAGACCCTTCATTTGTTATTGACAAGGATGACACAGTGGCCCTTGTGATCACAGGCAGGAGGCTCTGGAGTGAGTCACAGGTTTTGCACTTCAGAAAAGAACACACGCGGCTCACAGTGTGCCATGTCACTGTTTACTTCAAGGTCCTCGGGTCCCTTGTTCTCAACCTGTGTCACCAAAAGCAAGGCTGCACCGTCACCCGAAGGAGATAAGAGAACATCACAGAGGAGGTACGGCACTTACGATATAAACATGTGCTAACAGAGATCACAAACTGGGCCTGGGGACCAAGAGGACCAGCATCCCAGGAGCCCAACGGGGAGCAAATGGACAAGATACAGGTGGGCAGGTCCAGCAGCTGCTGGGGGGGGGTCCCAGCGGGCAAGTGTGGCCCTCCCCCTCCAGCTGGGCTTACGGCAGCAGTTTTTCTCTGGACTTTAAGATGCTATGTGTCTCCCTGAGCTGATTTTCCCAAACTCAGCAGGCGAGCACAACTTTGAGGTGCCTCCTCACTGCTACCGTCACTGAAGCACATCTACCACCCCTGCAAAGGGGGGTGCTGGGGTGAGGGGTGAGGGGTGAGCTGAATGCCATACCTGGTCCAGCTTCCAGTGGAACTCCGCGGGGCGGAAGGTGTCGGCCTGGTCGAAGTCCTTGCGCAAGAGAAAGACGAGGCGGCAGTTGTGCACGTACAGGGCGTAGTGATGCCGGTTCATTTCTGCAAAGCACAGAGACGAGCTGAGTGCTTATGGAATGCCTGCATCCGTCGCTGCCAGAGGGGTCTTCCCGCTACATCACTGAGCACACCCTCGAAGGGGGAAGGAATGGGCATTCCAGTTTCCCCTTTTACAATCAGATCTAATGAATGTTCTAGAACACACATGGTGGAGCTCACTGAAACGGAAGACAAAGATTCAAGAAAGCAAAACTTCTGCAGAGAAGCCATTTGGGCTTGAAATACCCACCGAACGTATACTCAGATACTGCATTAGGCCTAGGATAAAGCTTATGTAGGTTAACGAGTTTTGTTTGTTTTTGTACAAATACTTCTGAGAAGGCTACAGGGGCTCTCCGACAATCACATCAGCTACCCTGGGCTTCTTTAACACAACTGGTTTCTCCTAGAGTGCTGGGCTCATGTTTCATTTCTTCAGGCTTGACAATGGTGACCACAGAACATGTCTCCTCTACCTTATTGTGTGCAGTTAGGGGAAGCGGCTTCATATGTAGTTGCTAGGAGGAGGGGACACATTGATTTTTCAGCCTTAGTCATAGTTCCGTGTCTGTCCAAAGCAATGAATAAATACCTCTCTCCCCATACACAAAGGATGGGATGTTTTCCTCCTCTGATATAAAGACTTCCTTTTCTGCTTAGGAAATCTCACATCATGGGTCCCAGTCATGATGTCCGGCAGCCACAAGATAGTAGCCGTTGGGAGGGGAGGAGCTGTTTGACCGATACTCAGAGAACTCAACATCATATACTACATAGTAGCATACACTGAAATCTACTACGAGGCGCATGCTCCATAAATGACAGATGGATGAGTGGGTGACCTGTCGTCGTAGAAAGAACATGGGCCCTAGAGTCAGACAGACTTTGGGTGGAGTTTTATCTTCGGATGATTCTGGGAGAATTTTTTAGCCTTATGTCATGACAGGGATGCTAGATTGTCCTAATGAATCATGGCAATAGGATAATGAGATTGATTCTTGTACATCCTGTATAAACCTTGAGATTTGAGTGTGAGGAATCAATACCAATCCCACTTCTAGGCCTGGGCTAGGTTGGTTTCCCTGCCACGGTGATTGGTTCAGAACCCAGGCCCAAGTCAGGCCACGCAGGCCCTTTTCCCAGCCACAGCGCTTCTGTCAAGAAAGTGATTTGGTTCAAGCTAGTGATGCGGGAGCTTTTCTGAGTGGTTCCAAAAAAGAACTCTCTTTTATCAGAAAGCAAATAGGAGAGACACACTTTCTTTCTAGAAGTTGTAGTATATAACTGGGAGGCATGGGGCAGCTGCAGCCCTGTTTGCTAACATGAAATCAATACATAGATGGAGGCAGATCTGAGAAATTGCAGAGAAAAGGGCCAAGCCCTTGATCACACTTTGCCTGAAGCTGTCATAGCTCTGGACATTTTCAGTTACAAGAACTCTACATTTCCTTTATTATTTTGATTTCTTTGATCATCTGATACCAGTTTGATGTGTATTTCCTATTTCTTATAACTGAAAGCATCTTAACTGATACAACGAGGAAGTTTGTACAAAGCAGTTGCCAGTGTGGCAGGGTTGGCCTAGGCTAATGTCTGGGTGGCCACACGGCCTTTGGACTGATAAAATGGGGATTTTACTCAATATTTCTTATTCTGGCCTGATTATGGGGATTTTACTCAATATTTCTTATTCCCCTCACAATTGCTCAACTGATTTCCATTATCTATTGTCTACTGTCAGAGAAACATAGAAAGGACTTTTCCCCCTTTATTTTTATTTGGAGTCAGGAGCGGTTATAGGTGAGGAAGTGGAATGAGAAGAATGAATGGAGGTCTGGAGCATCTTCCAGCCTAGGAAATTTCTCCCTCCCTCTCCCTCTGTTTGTCTGGATTCCTGGAGTCACCGTCCACACTGGGGTCACTGGTTTCTTTAGTGGGCTAGAGACATGGTACACTCAGAAATCCACTTCATTTCTTTTCATGACCCTTGGTGTTCTTTGTGGCAGCTAAATATTTAACAAAAAGAACATTCCACATATACATAGAAATAAAAATAAGATTTTATTTGGTAATGAAATATGCCAAATGTAATCAGGAGATATCTTTAGGTATTAGGGTTTTAGGGAATTTGTGTAGTCTCCTTTATATTTTTCGGTTTTTCAGGTTTTCTGATATAAACATGTCTTGAGAATATATAAAAGCCTAATAAAGCTTTATTTTATAAATAAAGTTTATTCCTGATATTTTTAAAATTTAGGGCAAGCAGGTACTTATAGATTTTTTTCTTTTAAGTCAAAGTAGTTAGAGGAAGCTTCCTTATCTTCTTCGTGCCAGTGCTGAGCTGCCTGTAAAGTGTTTCTCTGAGCCAAGGCCAAGGCGGAGGAGTGCCAGGTCGTGCTGACTCCAGGTGCCGACATGCCCGTGGGGTAGACTGTTCTGATGACAACAAGGCATCATCATTTAAGGCAGCATGTTCAGCCACGGCTGCACAAAAGAATCCCCTAGAAACTCTGACTTCCTGTGCTGGGGTGGGGCCTTGGCATCTTTGTATTTTTATGAAAGTGCCAGGTTTTTCTGCTCTATAGCAAGGTTGAGCACCACTGGTGCCCAGGACCAGATCCCATCCTGTTGCTCTGGGTAATCGGCTGCGTTCCCTTGGGCCAGTCTTTCAACCTTTCATGGTTCAACTTCCTCCTCTGTAAGCAAGAACATTGAAATCTGTGTGACCTGCCTGCCAGGGTATTTGATACATTTCAGAAAGGACTCTGTGTGTGCAGTGGCGAACCCCAGCCCGCGCTGCTTTGCCTTGGTATATACGGTCCTAAGCTCTTGTCTCATTGATGCTGGCTTCTAGATCATGAGGGGAGCGCCCTGCCAGGCACCCCAAGGACCAAGCTGCAGGGTGATTCCGGGGATCGTGCGCTGAGCTCTGAACCCGGTCCCAAACCTCGGTGTGATCTCATGCACGTCTACGAGGTCCTTCCTGCATGAAGGTCCCAGAAAAACGCATCCTTGGCATAACCGATCCGACACAGACTTACTTTATGACTAATGAAAGCCAGGCAACTCTGTCTCAGTTTCTACATCTAGAAACATGCTAACACGTACTGTAAGGTGTGATTAAAACAGCAAATGTGGGGTCCTGGGAGTAGCATAATGTGGAATAAAACCAGAAGTTTTATTGATAGTAACACCATCAAGTAAATAAATTGAGCACTGATTTATATCTGATGCTGAGTGATTTCATACATTATTTCATGTCTATTTCCCCCACTTTACATACGAGGGAACTGAAGCTCAGAGAGATTAGCAACTCCTCAAAGGCCACAGCTTGGAGTGGCAAGGCTGGGAAACAAACCTTGGTGTCCAGCGGCAGAGGCTGAGTGGTCCATCACTCTATCCTGCCTTCTCATTGCGGCATCTGCTGGGGCTATTATTTATTTTGGGTATTTTAACAGAGGCAGTGCTTGAAATAGGAAACTGTGGAATTCTACTTTAAGATAGAGTTGTAAAATTTGCATAGGATATCCAAATATTTGTGTGTATGTGTGTGTGCGCATGTGTGCGTGTGTGCATGTGGGATGTGGTGACCAGTGCACGGGATTGGAGTTAGCTGGATCTGAGCTTACATTTCGGTTCTGATCCTTACTGGCTATATAACTTGGGACAGTTATTAACCTCTCAGGAATATTTCCTTATCCTTAAAATGGGAAACACAATAACGCTTTCCTAAATTGTTTGTAGAGATCTGAGAAACTGTCTAGAACACTAATATCTAACACAGATTGCACTTCTTATGGTTCAGGCACTGTTCTAAAGCACCGCACGTACAGTAAGTCCTGCAATCCTATTAAAAACCCTGTGAGGTTGATAATGCTAGAATGTCCATCTTATAGAGGGGGAAAGTGAGGCACAGAGAAACAGGTAAAACAACTTGCCCAATGTCACATCACCAGTAAGTGGTAGCGTGCTTTTAACCACCAAGCAGTGAACTGCCTTGCTCAGGCTTAGCATGGGGGAAATGCCTAGCAAAAGTTAGCTACCGTGATTACGTGTGGCAGTGACTTGGGAAAATGACCATGACGCTTTCATTGAAAATAAACTTTTGGAAGTCTTACTTACATATAATAGAGCAAAGGTGTTGCTGCTTTGAAGAAGAATGAAGTCTCCCTGCCCCCCAACTCCCACCTCATATGCAGCAGCCCTAAGTTACTCCTGGGGAGGCTGGGGTTCTGAAGAACCCGGTTTGAAAAGTACTAGTCCCAGCTTTTGCATTTGTTGTGTCTGTGCGTCTACTTTCCCCCCTTTCCTGGTCCCGCTCTACCTCCAGTCCAGGAAATCAGCAGCCAGAAAACCAGAGACGAGAATAGTTTCCCAGGACGCCATCATGCTCTGGCTTTCCCCCCACATTGTGGGTGGCTGTGTCCCTGCCTAACCAGCCGGGATATAATGGGCAGACTCACCAGTCTTATCTGAGTTGCAGAGGATGGTTTCCTTCTCGGCTCTCACGCCAGGGCTGGGGCCGTGTTTCATCCACATGGTGATGGTGAACTGGTCTGTCAGGTTCTTGGGCACAATCCCATCGGGGATCTTGGCCCCTTGTCTGCCATCAAACTTGAAGATCATCTCGCTGCTATCCACCAGGAGCCCTGCTGTCCAGTTGGTGGCAGCGCTGGGGGATGGCAAGAGGTCGATGATACCAGAGGAGGCTCCTGCGGGGCACGGGGGCCAGAAAGAACAAAGGGTTATTCCTCACGGAGTGGGTGTCCTCACCTTCTATTCTCTGCTCCTGGGTCAGGATGAACTACTCATGTAGTTGCTTCGAGATCTGAGCCAACCTTCAGCAAGGTGACTCAGGAAAAGAAGCGCCAAATGCCATCCCTCCCTGAGTTCCTTATGGTCTGCAGAGGTGAAGGCATCAGTAACTTACAGACAAAAATGTTGCATGTGACAAGATAAGGTGCAATGAACTACTATACAAGGAAAAGGTGCTGGAGGAATTTCGGGAAACAAGAATGGGGGGGCGCTTTTTTAAGGAGGGAAGTTTCCTGGAGAAGGCCAGAGTTTGATGTGGATCAGGGAATTCATTCATGCATTCATCCGTCCATTAATCTATGAGCCATTTATTGAGCGCTGACCACGTGTCAAGACCCCTGCTAGGCTAGGCACTGGTGGTGTAAACGTGAATCAGCACAGTCCCTGACCTGGGGTAGCTCAGAGCCGAGAAGCACAGACAGCTGTGACGCCGTGTGATCAGGGCTGTGATTGGAGAAAGTTCTAGGTCCTGATGCCATGGGAAGGAGTGTGAGCCACTTTGTACTCACCACACTTTTTTTTTTTTTTTTTACAAGCATTATGTTTAGGCCAAATGGTACAGAGGTCGAGAGAACATGGGTTCAGAAGTCCTCAAACTTCAATTTGATGCCTTGCAACACAACTTGCTAGCCTTGTGACTGTGAGCACGTCCCTTAGCCTTTCTGCCTTGCCAGCTCCTGCCATGGTATCTCCCTTCCCAGTGGGTCGTGAGGCCTGAATGAGAGCCTGCATAAGAGCCTGAGCAGCATGCCGGCCACATGGCGAATACTCACTCCATGCTACCTGTGACTTTATCCTTATAATGATTATTATTTTTACTACCACTATGATTCCAGGCTAAGGCACGAGCACTAAAGCTGAAGCAGGGGAAGTGTCACAGGTAGATTTGTATCTTAGGAAGGTCACACCAGCAGCTTTGTGGAGGGTGGAGCTCAGGTGGGCAGGAGAGGCCAGCCTCGCAGAGAAGACTGGATGCCTCAGCTGGGGGGACGCGTGGGTATCCACTGACTTCCCGCTGAAGATCTCTGCTGCCAGCAGGGGAGCAGGACTTGGCTCTTCAGGGAAGGATAAGGGCCAGGGCTTGCTGATATTGTCAGGGAATAAGAGTCAGGGAGTCTAGGGTGTGCCTGGTGCGGGAGTCAGTGCTTTCCCAGGACCACACTGGCCAGGCAGTCACGGAGGCTGATGGGTTTAATGGACAGTAGTTGTGTGCGTTACCTGATCTTTGTCAGAGATCACTGGACTTCTCAGTTCTGTATATCAGAGTCTCATCTCACCTAAGGTTTGGGTTCCAAAGTCAGCTTCCACAAACATCCACAGTTAAAATGGCCCTTGAGAGTCCTTCGGGAAGTGCCACATTGGAAATGAATATACCTCTCTGAAAACTCTTAACCAGCCAGTTTTCCCTCTAATCTTGGAGCAGATCATTAAGTCTAGTGTTCAGCACCCATCGGTTTGCAATAGAAATTTATGCTATGTGAGAAACAGGTATCCTTAGAACCTGTTGCTGTGTTTAGCTGTGAGAGGCTCGCCCTGGGAGAGGCCTCCAGGAACTGTGGCGTCTGAGAGGGTGGGAGATTCCGATCTGCCAATTCATGATCGCCCTGCAGCTGATGCTTATCAAGGGGGATGGGGGATGGTGCTGACTGCATCATCTACCTGTGTATTTCCTAGGGTTTGGGAATTGGGGCCAGGCCCGACACAGAGCAGGCACTCCATCAACATTTATAACTGTGCTTTCTCCCACCCGGCGCCTCCATGAGGTCCTTCTAGCCATCTACCCAATGCTCAGGTGTGCCTGCCCAGGCAGCCTCATGTCCGGGCCCCACCCCTCTCCTCAGTATTTACTTGTTCTCATCCCATGCCCCTGCAGCCTTGTCTGGTATCCATTTTATTTATCTCGTAAGTTGACTCACATTAATATTTTAATGACTAACAAAGCCTTAAGGGCAATCACCCTCCAAAGGTGTCTGAAAGAAATAAATGTATCTAGACGGTAGCAGGTAGAGATTTGGGGGTGGTTTAGGAGTGGAAGATAGGTGGTATTTTGGAGCAAATTCATTGTCTTAGAACCCCTAGAATAATGCAACATGGCAACTGCTTCTTTGACCCATAGGTAAGTTGGCTCTGATGCCAGGATTTGCCCAGTTCGTAGACAGCCCGGTAACTGGCACACTCAGACAGAGTGTCAGTTCCTGAAATTTCAGGTGGCCAGACAGGTGCAGGCTGAGTGCTCAGGGCTCCTGACTGCCTGCTCAGGCCAAGGAAGCCAATGCAGTCTAGCAGAGCCGGAGCAAAGGTGGGAGCCAGCTTTGCCACCAATACCATTATTATTATTTTCCTAGCAACCAGTTTTGGGGCACTGAGCACCAGACCTGAATTAAGTACTACAGTGCTTTTTCTCCGTTACTCCTCTATGTGGTAAATACTATTGTGATTCCAGTCTGCGGGTAAGAACCTAGGCTCAGTGAGCCCAGGATCACAACCAGCTAGTGAGCGGGCCCATCTGCAGGGCTTTCCAGCTCCAAAGCCTAATGCCTCCCATGGCACCACCTCAGTGAAGCTCGAGGGAAATCTTGTAACCTCCTCCCCTTTTTACAATTGGAAAACAAAGCCCAGAGAAGGGAAATGACTTGACCAAGGTCACACAGCCCCTGAGCTAACGAGAGGCAGGCCCAGCTCTCAGATTCCCAGCTAATGTTCATTCTACCGCACAGTATGGTGTCTTCCAAGCACACAGCACAGTCCCCTGGGATCCCACCTCCCCACACAGGTGGCTGTCTGCAGAGAGGCACGTTGAAGACAGCATGTGCCCTGGTAAGGCCACTGATGCAGACTTCCTTGATTCCGTGGTGAGAGGAGTGGCAGGCCACCCCACCTAACCCACAGATGTTGCCTACCAGAAAGCATCAAGCTGTAAGGAACCAGATGGTGCAGACTTCCCCAACTTAGCAGCTTGTATTTCATTTCTCCGTGCACTTAAACAAACTGAAAGAGATTTACTTTCTCCCAAAGTTCCTCTCTCTCCTCTCCTCAAGGGATCTCATGGAAAGCTGTGGGTAAACAGGGCCCATCACTTGCAAAGATGGCATAGCATCATCTGCACACAGGGTGGATTTAAGAAGCTCCTTGGGAATCTCTGCGAAGGTCTCTGGGACCCTTCAGGCTGCTTAGAGGCCACACTGGTCTGGTGCACAGCAGTTGTAGCTTGAGTGGGGGGAGCTTGGAACCAGAGTTGAGGTGTGATTCAAGGTCCCCGAGCCCTAGTGTGGGAAGCCTCTCTGAGTCAGCAAGTAGATAAAGATGGGGTGTATGAGGCAGATTTCAGGACACACTGTAGTGTGAACGCATCAATGGAGCCTGAGGGCACTGAACTTCTTAATTGCAGGGTTTGCATTCAGCTCTGGATGACGTTGGTCAGGGCAGAGTGTCCTTAGCACTTTGAGGTGAGCCTGTGGCAATAGTGATTGACATGGAGCCTCCGGTCATGCCTCCTCATGGTCTACAACAGGGCAAGAATGAGTGGGAGGGTCTCAGGGGAGAGGAACCATTGTAACCAAAGACACAGGCCTCATTCTGTGGAGTATTCTCACAATAGCAATGTCAACTCCTTGTTATCTCCATAAATATTTATGTAACGTCTAGGTTATGTCAGGCACTGTGGGGAGAAGGCAGCAATGAACCAAACAGAAGTTGGTCCTACCTTTAGGGACCCGGTAGAAAATCTTTACCTTTGGTGGGTGGACCAGGTCAGTGGCAGAGAGTGTCAGGGAAGGACAGGGAGGCCCTCTTGACAAACGCTGTACTAGGGCTGCATGTTGGTGGAAAGCATTCTGTTCTCACATGCTTCTCTGACCCACTGATGTCACTTAGCCATGTGACTTGCTCTGACCAATATAATATGAGTGCAAGTGACATGTTATTTTAGGGCAGAAGCTTTAACCGACTGAGTCACCCAGGCGCCCCCCGCCCCGGGCAGAAGCTTTAAGAGCCAGTTTGCGGTTCTCCACGTGTCTTTTCCATGTGCATGAGATACACAGTGCTCTACATAAAGGCTATTTGTTAGGCATCCGAATTGGCAAAGAAGAAGTCAAACTCTCACTGTTTGCAGATGATATGATACTTTATGTGGAAAACCCAAAAGACTCCATCCCAAAACTGCTAGAACTCATACAGGAATTCAGTAAAGTGGCAGGATATAAAATCAATGCACAGAAATCAGTGGCATTCCTATACACCAACAACAAGACAGAAGAAAGAGAAATTAAGGAGTTGATCCCATTTACAATTGCAACCCAAACTATAAGATACCTAGGAATAAATCTAACCAAAGAGGCAAAGGATCTGTACTCAGAAAACTATAAAATACTCATGAAAGAAATTGAGGAAGACACAAAGAAATGGAAAAGCGTTCCATGCTCATGGATTGGAAGAACAAGTATTGTGAAAATGTCTATGCTACCTAGAGCAATCTACCCACTTAATGCAATCCCTATCAAATACCATCAACTTTTTTCGAAGAAATGGAACAAATAATCCTAAAATTTGTATGAAACCAGAAAGACCCAGAATAGCCAGAGGAATGTTGAAAGAGAAAAGCAAAGCTGGCGGCCTCACAATTCCGGACTTCAAGCTCTATGACAAAGCTGTCATCATCAACACAGTATGGTACTGGCACAAAAACAGACACATAGATCAATGGAACAGAATAGAGAGCCCAGAAATGGACCCTCAACTCTATGTTCAACTAATCTTTGACGAAGCAGGAAAGAATGTCCAATGGAAAAAACACAGTCTCCTCAACAAATGGTGTGGGGAAAATTGGAGAGCCACATGCAGAAGAATGAAACTGGACCATTTCCTTACGCCACACACAAAAATAGACTCCAAATGGTTG